CATAAAAACAGCATTTTAATAACAGCTAAAGGTGACATACAGTAGATACTTTATTATGGTATAGTTTTTAAATACATGCCTGAGAATATTGGCCCTTTAAGTTTGTCCTGTTTATGTGGGACAAACACCTGGAGGATTCTCTGCTCTACTGGCAGCAGAGTGGGTTTGCAAATCGACACCCAGAGGAGCGACAGAAAAGAGGAAARGGGGGGAGGCTCCGTCTCATCTAAATTTAGACTCAACAGCAGCACAGCTTTAAATATTTCATTGGCTCTTCATCAGAACTAAAGAAAGTGGGAGACTGAGGGAAGCGAGAAGAGATGGGGGCTTAAAGGGGGTTTGTCTGAGACTGAGATGAGGACAAAGGGGATGCAGACAGAAATAGGAAGTATTAACAAAAAGACAAGGGGGCTGAAGGAATGTGAATCTTATTCCCATCATATTTATGTCGAAGAATGAACTTTTATTCAAACAGCTGGTGCATCAAGTCTGAACTGAAAGGCTTCTCCTCTCCAGACTTTCTGCCTGACGAGAGCAAAAAATTAAAAATCGTTCCMCCGCATAATTCAGAAGCAGTCAGAGAGAAACGGCGTCAGACGAGAACTGGAGGAGGGTTTATTCACGTTGGCAGCGCTGGCCTRGCTGTCGCTTTGAGGGGGATAAAGTGTTGCTTTGTTGCTGCTGTAAGCTGCCCTCCTGTCTGCCTGCTATTGTGTACACTGTGCTCCGTGCTGAAGGAGAGATAAAGGTTAGAGCCACGTGCACCGGGAGCCGCAGCCGAGCCGACTTAAACTAAAATCTCATTCATAAAATGGGCGGTGAGAACTGGGTCGGCTCGGAGGAATCCGTCGCCGTTTAGACGATCAAACAGCGAAGACACCAAATGGAGAGCAACGCCACGGCGTACGGGTCTCCACGCTGCCGAGCTCTTTGTTCTGTCAGAGTTTCACGGTGATGGATGAGGCTGAACGAGGAGCACGACGAGGGTCGTTACACCGGGCCGCCCAGCCTCAACACCGACAGAGGAACGGGCTCCGTAATGGCCTGAGATACCATCACAGACTGGCAATGATGGAGTGTGTTCTCACACACACACACACACACACACACACACACACACACACACACACACACACACACACACACACACACACACAAAGAGCAACTTAACAGATGTGGGCACCCCCCGCCCCAACACACAGGGCAACATTTCTACCAAACTAAGTAATCAACGAAACAGAAACAAAAGCTACAGCAGCAGACACAAAAATAGACTAAATTGGTTAAATTTTCAATCAAAAAAAGAGAAATTAAAGGCTGAGCAGTGCGAGTCTTTGCTGAATCTGAGTTGTTGAAATCAAAAGGAGGAGAACAAAAACTACAAGACATAACCTGAAATTAACCGTCGCTGATGTCCCCCATCGCCATTCAGTGACCAACTGTTAGTTTGGTTGGAATCATCACAGGCCTTCATTATTTAAAACGGGCAATATCATGTAAAATCAACTTTTTGAGTTTTATATCAAGTTATAATGTTATACTTTCATAAAAAACATGCCTAAGTCTTGCTTTGACTCATTCGTGTTTGAAAAATCCTGCAGTGTTTTTAGGAAGCCATGCTGAGGAGCAAAACGACAGGTGGGGACCAGAAACGCCTTTTGGTACCAGGAACACCCCTGCGACGTGTCTTTAAGCCGAACCTTCTCATGGCAGAGCGCCCCCCCCCCCTCCTCCCCACACACCCCGCACATGACTCCTGCAGGCTCTCGGGTGAAAGTGAAAGTGAAACTTAACTGTCTGCTGAGCTCACTCAGTGAAGCTCTTTTCAGATTAAAAATACCTTTGAGGAAATGTATTTTCAGATGCCAAGTGAACTGCATCATAACGCACGCACAAAGTGCACACAAAGTTTGGCTCAGATAGAATCATGTTTCTGTGYTTTAGTGCCAACTGTATCTCACCGGTGTGATGTCTAATTAGGCCACGCCCTCCAAAAACTGTACTACATTCCTGTAGTGGGGTGGATTAGGATCGACCACGGTGATTTGCGTGCCGATTGACTGAAATATGTGTAATTTAGAGCCTAATGTATGTCAATGGCGTGATGTCTGACTTCGCTGCACTGCCATGACCACGCCTTTCACCAACAAGTCTTTGTGCTTAAAAACAAGATAAAGGTATTATCTGTGTTCTGACACAATTTGTGGCTGATTAGGTCAAGAGGGTCAGAAATGGAGCTTTCCAAGCCAAAAAAAGGTCACTTCCTTTTGTCAGGGGGCGGGGCTTTGATGATGTCATATGACCACATGGTATGGTCGGGCATGCAGCATGGATGACTCATACCACGTTTGGTGTATTTTAGCCTTTCTGCTTAAGTTACAGCTTTCTGAGATTGTAACGGGTGGATGGATCTAAGTCCCCTGCCTCGGCGACGAGGGACAAAAATGGGCAGAACAGAAGCTAAGGGCAGCTGAACAGTAGCTAAAACTAGCAGAGCTTAAATTAAATTCACAAGACAGCTGTTAAAATTAGCAAAACACAATATTAGCTGCGGTACTTAAGCAATATTCTGTTAACGTCGAAAAGCACAGTTTTACAATTGCGGCGTTTCCATTAAGTAAGAAATGTTTTTAAAGTCATGTGTGAATACGTTTGTTCTCACGATAAGTCATTACAAACATGGCGGCAATGTATGTAAACACATAGCATATTGCTACCATGAAACTAGCGCTCATCATCAGCCATCAGAGACGTCAGTGTCTTACCGAGACCTTCGAGCAACAAGCCCCTTATACTTGGGAGCGACTACGTTTGCTGCGTTTTTGGGAAATGGTATTCGGTGATTTTACTACTTTCTTTTACTACGTCGGTGATGTTACTACTACTTCTACTTCCTGTTGTCTTCTTTTTTTGTCTTTTTCACCAGTAGAAACATCCAGTTCTTGATCACGTGACTCCCGTGATGCAAAAAAAGTGTTTCCATTGCAGTTTTGTGAATTACACCAATTTCAATGTGGCCGAAAAACCACCTCATCCTAGCACAAAACCATTTTGTTGAAAAGTGTACGTTTTTTCGAAATTGACGTGTTTCCATTGAGCAAATTCAACTCATGATGATTTATTTAAAAATGTTTTCATTTATTTGCAGCCCTGAACAAAGAAAGAAAATGTGTTTGTGAACATTTAATGACCTGATTTCCTCCCTGCATTCTGAAGTGAAGCCAAACGTGACTGCAGGATTCCAGGGCTTACTTTGAAAACATTTAAATCTGCACGTCTGCTMAGAAACCGGCGCAGAACCAGTCCGTCCTGAACGGACAGCTCTGAGCTCAGATTAAGTGAACGCTGCAGTTTATGTGAGGACAGCTGTGTCTGCGTCCTCTAACTGGTCCAAAATCCCACTGCCTCGGGTCACGTCGGTCGACACCACACATATGTCGTGGTGCCACTCACTTTTAGAGTTTCACCACGACCAATCAGGGAACAGATTTRGATTTCATCAACTCACACCGACCCTGCAGTGATGCAACACATTAAATTGCCTGTGCCATGAATTTTTTTGTAATAAACATGAATGCATTTTTAAAAACCTAACATTGATATCATATTGCAAAACAAATTTCACGCCCCTGAGATGAACAGTTGTTGAGATATTTGCACGTGAACTAACYGGAAGTGATGTCATAGGGGACTGTCTGCATGTAAACAGAGCTTTGTTACAACAAACAAATCGGATGTTTCTTTAAATTATTTTGAGTCGCTATCAAACTATACTGAAGAGTTAAAGTTTAAATGARACTGTTTTAATAAACAGAGACCAGAGATTTTATTTTATTAATGAGTTCCCCTTTGATGTCACTTCCTATTTCATTTTGGCTGAGCCAAATGCAAAAGAAAATAGGCCAGTTATGGGACAAAATGGGTAAAATCATGTTTATCATTTCAAGTTTCTCAATTATTAAGATGTTTTCTTTGAGTTTTTGTATAAAGATATGAATGTCACAGGTACTTTAAAGCAAAWGAACCGCACCAGGTTTAACAAAAAAAGCTTTTCTCTGTGCAGCAAATAAAGACAATAATCTGTCTGATTCTATCTTCGGCTCCTTACGGCGACTTGATGCTGACCTTTTGAAATGGCTGAGCAGAGTTCCAACCAGCTCCCCGACGCGGCTCTCGTTGGCAGGTACCATGCCCTGRAGGCACACCACCAGGTCCCTGCTGTCCTTGGTGTGGAACACAACCAGCTGGTCCTTKCCCGGAGACACGCTCAGCCCCGTCACCTGAGACGCACAAACACAGACACAACTCAGACAAATCCGCACACAGATGCTTAAAGTTAGGTGAAAGTTGCAGAATGTGGGTTTAAAATTTTTATATATAAGAAAACATAAACACATCAGAACCCATTAATAAAATGAGTTGTTTTGTTTTCAGCTTTATCATACAGGTGGAATTATCTGTACTCACATCATCTGTATTTTATTGTCTCCAACGCCTTCACGTGGTGTCTGTTAATGAAGGTGAATGCACCCACTCATAAACAAAGTCAGCATGTGGAGTATGGATTTATTGATCTGAATCCTGGAGGACCYATCTTATTTTTCTAATTAGAACCTCCCAAACGGCCCAGCAGAGGAACGCAGCAGAGTTAAAAGAGGAATCCCTGCTCAGTAGGTGGGTTTTTTTATTTTATTTTTTGCATTAAAGGTTGTCAAATTAAATGCTTCGGGAGGAAACTGATCTCTTCACAGGAAAACACTTCTCACAGAAAAAAAAGCTGGTTTTATGTCTCATTAACTCCTGATTCTTTGCTCCACTGTGCTTTTATCCCTCCTGTTTTCATCTCAGCTCTGCTCTCTACCTGCTTCGCGGATTTATTCCTGTCTCCATCCGTCGTCTCTAAGCRGAGCCACGGGCGGCGCAGGCTGAGGAAATGGCTCCAGGGCAGCAAGTTTTGTACATTAATACTCATCAGCGAAATAAAATGTTGAGGGACGRGTTCGGCGGCGGCGCCGGCTGATGCCGGTGAGCAAATGGGAAACAACACGGCGATGTCGTCGTTCCAGAATTAAAACCCACACARGGTTAATTTCAAGGAGACAATTACATTTACATTTTTATTAAAGCTCTAATTGAACGGAACGACAATTTGTGTTCTAATGAGCTGAGCGATGATACGTCCGGATCCGTTTCCTCGTCTCGTTTTTCTTTTTGATTCGCAAAATCCATTTTACACACAGCACCGGCTGTTTTTTTTTAATTATTATTTAAAGACGGTAAATGTCAAGCTGCAGCGGTGAGCGGGGTGGTCGAGGTGAGAAAGTGAGGTGGGTGAGTCAGAACAGAGATGCAGCCTGAAGGCAGCGACATGGAGCTATCGATGGGAGGAGGTCAGGCTGAGGGGACAGCCGTTAGCTGCTGGTTGATCAGCAGCGACGGGCCGACAGCACAGCTTCCCCTCGGCKTGAGCTGGAGAGGTGAGAGCTCTTATCTGTCCTCATCTCCTCCTCGTGTCCCTCCCCACATCCCCCCGTCTCTTCCCGTTGTTGTCATGCCAACTTCCCGGGAGACGGTGTTGTCATGGATACCGAGTGCAGGGCGGATCAGCTGATGTCTGTTGTCGTTCTGGCATGTGTACAAATGAAAAAACTTTTTTTTCTTGTTTATTTTGTTTTGTGTTATTTTGGTTTCTTCGGCTGAAAACTAATCAAATATTTTATTTCTACATAAAAAATGAAAACGGCACAAAGATTTTTTTTAATGGTTCTTTATCAATTTATTTCATTCCTAAAAATCAACGAACTAAAAAAAAAATTGTTAAAGGAGACAAACTGAAAATGTGTTGCATTTAGTGCTGGGTGGTGGGACCTAAAATTTACATCGCAGTATTTTCAACAGTTATCCTGGGATCACGATATTTGATATTTTTATTTTCATGTCAGCTCAGGCTGATTWAAATGTACAAACGCTGTTATAGATCAGCAAACTGCAGTCAGCAGGACGAAAGGAGGATGGGGAACTTATTTCTAGCGGCGTACTGGGTTTGAAGATGGTTATTTGATGTATTTATTGATTTTTTAACGTCCTCCAGTCTCTGAAGTGCAAAAATAAAATGAAAGTGAGTTTTTGAAAAGACCTGTATAACTATTATTTTTTCAATTAATGTCTCACACGTTTCCTCTCCATCTTCTCTGTTCTTTACATTTACTGTTTTTTGTGTGTGTGTGTGTACAGTGCCCTGAGACAACAGTTGTTGTGACCTTGGCGCTATATAAAGAAACTGAATTGAATTTAACTAGAAAAAACCGTTACATTGGTCTATATGTCWGTGTACTAGGGCTGCGCGATATCAATAAAACCTGTGATGTGCGATAACAGTGTTTAATATTGCAATGACAAAATGACTTGCGATAAAAAATAAATAAATAAAGTATACAGTGTTGATGTTTTTCTGTTCTGGGTTCAGAGCAAAAAACAACTAATACATAATTTCCATTACAACATGGAGTGATTATGATTTGATGTTTCTCTGGTCCATTTTGTTTATCAGACAAACAACATAAATGCAAACATAGGAGCCAATCATTTATTGCAATTTAAAGGCACAGTGTGTAGGATTTGTTGTTTTCAACGACATCTAGTGGTTGAGTGGTTGAATCATCCTCCCTGGTCCTCCCCCCACCCCCACTGCCCAGCTTCCAAACGCAAAGGAGTTGCTACGGTGTCTCTCAGGTGTCAAAAACCTTTGATGATTCCAACCGCGATGTCTACCAGKAGCTTCAGGGCTKGTGATGTTTCAAGTGGTAAGATTATGAGCTTTAATAAGTAAAATTATCCCAGCTYCAATGACAGAKAACAAATATTACATTTATAGTATTACAACTAAAACCGTTTTTCACGCCGCCACCGCAGTTTGTCCTTCATGAGCCTTCGTAGACAAGATGGCGGCTGCCTGTAGTGGCGACCCACGACCATGGAGATATAAACAGCTTTTTATAAGGTGAACCTGGGATTGGAAGGTTGCTGGTTCAACTCCCCGACCAGCCCCTCTCTGGGCCCATGAGCAAGGCCCTTAACCCCTCAGTTGCTCCCCGGGCGTCTCAAAAATGGCAGCCCTCTGCGCCACGTGTGTGCTCACCAATAAAAAATAAAATAAAATAAATAAATAAATAAATAAATAGAAAATCTGTACAACTTGACATGGCTGAAGTTACTCTCTCTGCAACACAGAAGTTATTTCTTGACACATCTGTCATGTTTTCCCTCCTCTACATGTCTGAACCGTACGAGTTCAGGCCATTTAAACCAGTATTCAGAAAACTCACATAATAATGAAAATAAAAGCCTGTTTTCAGTCCGAACCGGCACACCGTCCAGCTCTAACGTCATTGAACACACAAACCTCAGAGGATCTATAGAGAGGCTTAATGATTAGGTACCTCCTCACACATGATTGGCCATCTCGCCGCTCGGCCTCCCTCGTTATATGAAATTCATTTCATCACTCATTGTCTCTGATCTGGGCTGCTGTTACACAACCAAAAAGTACAAAGTGTGAACACCTGCTGCTCATATCACAGTATGTGAGCACCTGAAGAACACCGTGGTCCCGGCTGAGTGTTGATTTATTGTGGATGTTCCAGACTCTTGTTGTGTCAGTGCCAGGTTGTGAAAGCTTCCCAGGCGACGTGTGTGTGTGTGGATTCAATTTAATCCATCAGTTCAGAGTTTGTGAATGACAGCTTGTCTTGGAATGAACAATAACTAAAAAAATAATAAACTCCTATTACTCTCCCCATCTGCCTGAACTCAGTCCCCACTCGCTTCACTTCCAGATGCTCCAGTGAATGCTTCAGGTCTCCATTCTCCTTCCTGTCATTTTGTCAAACCGAACACMGCGGTGTCTGGTCACAGCTGTCAATGCACAGCAGCTTCATGTCTCACTCATTCCACCAGACGACAGGGGTCCACGRCTGCATCGAGATTAACGTCTCGCACGTTTCCTCTCCATCTATTTCTAATCCTGCCCGCCGAGGTCAGCGGCGCAGACAAACAACGAGCACTTTATATCARTACATGAGAGGGAAACGGTCTGAATTACACTCCAGTTATTTACTCAAACCTTAAAGTTCTGCTTTGCCTGACAGTAGAGTTGTAAAGTAACTAAGTACAAATACTTTGTTATTGTACTTAAGTAGAATTAAAGTAACTAAGTACAAATACTTTGTTATTGTACTTAAGTAGAATTTTTGGGTATCTGTACTTTACTTGAGTAATTATTTTTCAGCCTACTTTTTACTTTTACTTCTTACATTTTTAAAAAATAGACAAGAAGTAGAAAGTCGTTACTTTTATTTAATTTTTTTCTTGTTTTCATTCCAGCTTGTTATTGTAAAAAATAAATACTATCCATATAAATTTTGCCTCCTTGATAGAGTGAATTTAATTGTGGTTGAATGAGAAGTATAAATATAAACAATTCCATCCATCCATCCATTTTCTTCCACCTATCCGGGGTCGGGTCGCGGGGGCAGCAGCTTCAGAAGGGAGGCCCAGACCTCCCTCTCCCCAGCCACTTCTTCCAGCTCCTCC